CATATTTCACTTACCACTGATTGAATAAGCTACGGAACGATAGAGCATGGGTGTTTCTTCCTTTTTTTTTTTTTTTTTTCCTTTTTGTTTTTTGTCTTCTTTAATTCTTTATGTTTATTGCATGATTCCCTCTTAAGCGAATGCTTTTTCTTATATACTCAATATATTCTCATATATGACCGTACACCCCTTTTCCCCCTCCAAAGCCGCCCCTCCTTCTCCCTTATTCATCGTTTTCATCACCGATGTGAAAGGCATCTAGGTTTAGTTCTAACCTTCAATCACTTCCCTCTCATTGCGCGTACTTTCACTCCCTGACTGGGCCTGATCAAGTTTTCATTGTTGTCTGAGTCCTGAGGATGAGCGATAGGAGATAGACGACAAAAAGAGGAAGAAGATGAAAAAAATGATCAACGCAGGATTCGAACCTACGATCTTCCGTGAACGGTTGTTACATGTAAGACGGACGCCTTACCACTAGGCCAGTTGATCACTCATAATTGTCGTTGAACTCATACTTAAGTTATAACCAAGGCTTGGAAGATACGTCACAAGGGAAGGAATCCGTAGCTGATTCTTCTCAGCTCTTACTCAAGCGGCAAGTGTAGTCGTTCAATTTGCAATCGCGCGATGGGGAGATCCAGCTTCCCACAATCCGCTAACTGAAATCGGGTTTTGTGGCGCCTAGAGCAAGAAACGTGAACGGCATGTTATCCGAAGTAGCTAAATTCTTCCCGCTGTCGTGGACGCCAAATCCTTCCCGAGCATCGATTTTTCCTTGGGCCTTTTCAGATATGACACAGCCGAAATGGGGCGGTACTTGGGAGTATCCCAGTCAAATGGAGGCGCTGACGGAAGGCGAGCGAAATGACTATCCAGCAATTGAGGTAGTTGCATGAAAGGGTGGAAACTGATAACCCACAGATTGCCACCATGCAACCAACCAATCGGCCAGAAGTAGTCCCTCTATGAGAGAGGCAAAAGGTTCGAAGCATCCAAAGAAAACACGACGGTTAAGCCGGGCACCGGGGCAGTGGAGGGGAGGAAAGGGCTTCGACCAGATCTAATGGATAATGGTTAAAGTGACATCATACCCCGGTGTCACTGTCCCGAACCTGGTACGTATTATACTACTAGAACCACCTGAAATCAACGGATGACTTACCCCCTCGAGCGTAGGAGAGAAAGTACGGAGATAGTAAAGGATGATGAGGTGGACAGTCTACTCTTTCCTACTCCTCCTTCTCATCTCACGGTTACCCACCTTCTTTACGCTTTGGTCTCTGTTGTACGCCAGAACTGCTTCGAATATGTCGCCCTCTACGAGATCTCTCATCGCTAAAGTCCGTCGTATTGTTCCTCCTATGCAAGAGAGGTTTCATAAGGGTAAGTGGTAGTAATGTCGGGAAAGAGAAATCGAAGAAAATCAGACTACGTTACTCGTCACCATTCTAGTTCCACCACTGACGATGTTGGAGTAAAAAGGTCAGCTTGGCCGTGTGGCAGTCATAGGAGGCAGTATAGAGTACGTGGCTATAAATGTTCGAGAAAAAAAATACAGCAACGAGATGGTTGAAGCGGTGGACACTGATTGTCAATGCTCTGATTTAGCTACACTGGTGCACCTTATTTCTCGGCAATGGCATCCGCGAAGCTAGGTATGTTCATGATGTTCTCAAAGCAGAATGAGCTTATATAGCGAAGAACAAATTGATTGACTAGAAAACCGGTTTAGGTTGTGATATGGTAGGCTATACAGTTGCTATTGCATGGAAGAATTACACGCTAACGAAGAATATCCAAAGAGCCATGTTATTTGTGAACCTTCAGCGGCTACAGTGAGTGTCACGAAGCATTTGTGAAGCGCTCCCTTGTTCCACGGTGATTCTGACTGCTGCATAGGTGATAAAATCATATTCACCGAATCTGATGGTCCATCCCTATCTAAGAAGTTCCGCTACAGATGGTCCAGATCCGAAAGATATCCCGAGTCTAGCCAAACCAGTTGTAGACTTCATAAATCGTATCCATGTACTTGTCATTGGACCAGGATTGGGGAGAGATGCCGTCACACAGAAGGTCGTTATGGAGATCATCAAGGAGGCAAGACAACGGGATATACCTATGGTCTTTGACGCTGATGCTCTCTTGATAGTGCAAGAGCATGCAGATCTTGTCAAGGGATATCGGCAATGCATTCTGACCCCTAACGTTGTCGAGTTTGCAAGGTTGGCAAAGGCAATGGGTGTCGACCCGCCCAATGTCAGCGATGATCAAGACAGGGCTAAGGCATGCCGGGAGCTCAGTAAAGCCCTAGGAGGAGTGGCAATTATCCAGAAGGGCAAAGAAGACGTCATTTCGAACGGAATTACTAGCATCATATGTGATGTGCAGGGTGGTCCCAAAAGGAGTGGCGGTCAAGGAGATACGCTGACTGGCTCTCTCGGAACATTCCTGGCATGGCGAATGCAGTACCATGCGGGCTTGTGGGAGTCGAATCAACCCTCAGAACCGGATGGTACTCCATCAACAGAAGCCGTCGAGAACGAACTTTCAGCAAAGGAGCTGAAGCATCGCATGTCGCCGGAAACTACCTTGCTGCTTGCGGCGTGGGCGGGCAGCGCAGTCACAAGGGAGTGCTCACGTCGGGCTTTCGCAGCCAAGGGGCGTAGTCTGCAAGCAAGTGACTTAACTGAAGAGGTCCATGGCGCGTTCATGTCGCTGATTGGTGAACCCGGGCATATCAAGCTATGAGATGTATGCAGATATCCAAGAAGGTTTGCTGATGATTATGCATAGATAAGAAACAGCATTGCAAGGATCACCCAAGTTCTTTCAATCTCTGTTTCTCCCATGAAAGGGAGGTGAGTATAATAGAGAAAGCGAGGTTCTGCGATCTGACACCCCTCTCTCCCTTTTGAGGCTTACGAGCTTGGCATAAAATTATGACTATAGCTTGCTTCTGGAGCTTAATCATGCGTTGCCTCGTACCACGTCGGGCTCCGTTGGAAAGGCAGGGCCAAGACCTGTTCACCCGTGTGATTGTTGAAATTTGAAGAGTCGTGCTCAAGAGCCGCCGTCGCGAATTCCGTCGATGACTGCTGCGTCTGAGTAAGCGCGACACCATTGAGTGACTTTGTCATGCTTGCATTTCACCGCGATGAAGAATAAGCGGTCTGATCAATAACGTTAGACAACGAGTAAGTATCGCTGAATTTACCCTGTACGTTAAGCCAGCTTTGGTCTGCGGCCTGGGGCATCAAATCGGGCGAAGTTCATTATCTCAATGGCTCAACAACGACCTGCGATGGTAGCTCACGTATAGCTGAGTTGTCATACCCCGTGGCTTGTAGAGCACTGGACTCTGTGAAAGTCTTCTTACCCGCAGGATTTGAATTGGAAGTCATTCTAAGGTCGGGAAAGGGAACGGCTCCGATGTTGACGACTGGGGTATCTCCGGCCACTGCTCCTGACAGGCGACGGACTAGTTGGCATCATCTCGCCTCTGCGGGTCAAAATCAGTCAGTCCCCTTCAGTATGTGTAATAAAGGCATCGCTATATCAGCGGATTGTTGGATATGTGAGTGGACAACATTCTCCACTCCGGAAAGTTTTGTCCGCAAAAGGGGTATTTTTCGTCTTAAGGTGCTGATGTAGACTGGCGATAACACGAACTGATGTGCCAATTGATCTCATATATATCGCCGCCGGCTTTCTAATCGCTCATATTGCTGCAGTTCTCGAGAGAAATCTGGATTTTCTCGAACGAGTAGCTGGCGAAAAGTGTCGCGCCTATAGCAGTCGTGCTCACAGTCCTGTCTATCGCATGATCACCGTTCCAGATCCCGTCGACTTCCATTCTCATGCCTTAACCAATCAGCCTTATGAATTACTTTGGCTCCGGGCATTCAATCGTACGCGTGAGTATTCGAAGGTTTTCATGAACATGCTCTGTCCATTCGGACGGCTTTTGGAATGTGTTCACCTCGAAGCAGAACTTGCATACAAATTGAACCGGAAACTGATTGACGGGCGGCGAGGGAACCATTGGAGGTAGTACCTCTGCATAGATAACAGGAGTTTCGCCATTCATTAAGGTATACAAAGATGACTCTTATTGCTGCTGGCTAGACCCAATCAGAATCGGTTTAGCCGAGCCTCCCTGGACAAAAAACGAATGTCCCGAGAGACATTTGCCATGTTTGTAGGATATGCGATGTTGCCTGCGTAAAGCCAGAAGGAAATTGTACCGCCTTATGTTTCGTGAGCTAGTCTGTCGGCGAGAAATGGAGCTAGTTCCTGCATCATAGTTTTCAGACGGAGTATCCTCTCCTTGAATGACTGGAAAGTGGAATCAAACCATATCATCGGAAAGGTGCGATTCTTGCCGCCGATCCTCTTCAACATGACGTGCCTTTCCCATGCTCAATCTTGAATACCTCAGCTAGCTCTCTCACACTCAATTACGGTGAACAGTGGGTTGGATGATGGCTGAGCGGCGGATAATGGGAAGATATATCTTCTGCGACGTCAATTCGTCATCCTCTCTGCAAGTCTTGCGTTTTGGCTAGCTGCGCCCTCATTCATGTAAGCGTTCAAGCTTACCTCACAGTCCGTTATTGGCTTGAAAAAAACAGCCGGAAGCATCGTGACTGGATGTTTCCCAAGAACCATGATAAGCGGAAGAAGATCCGAATTCAATCGGAAGCGCCTTCGCGGATCCAGATGAACTCTCGATCGTTTAATTATGCCGACGACAGGTGCAATGCGGTGTCCATCGCTTTCATATATTGTGTGCTCGCTCCTGTCAGAGGAAATACTAGTTATCTCCTAGGAAGGACTCTCAATACATTGCATGGCGTTGGC